CTTGCCGAGTCCCTCCAAAGCTGCTTTTACTTCTTTATTGGTTGTTCCTTTCAACATCAAGTTCTCAGGACTCTGAATCATGCTTGTTTTGCTGTCTAATGTGCCTTCTGTCAGCTGTGAACTTTGTAGATGGAAAACCTTCTGATGGAATATCTTATAAGAACAATGGAAGTGAATTGGCTGTTTCTGGATCATTAAAGCTGGTGGTTTTCACCTAGTAGGATCTTTCATTTTCCATTTGCTGAAATCAGTGGAAGCTTTTGGCTCTAATCTGAAAGTTTGCCAGTTAATAAATGTCTCCCTAACTCCACTCACCTTTTTCAAAAGGTACCAGGGCATGGCTCCTGTCAGACAAGTTGGGTTTCTTTTATGATCACAAAGAGTTTAACATAGAGCCACGTAAGCTTCTAGCAGTAAGGATGGCTTTCCATATGCCCTTAGGCTTGTTCTTCATCTGCAATAGCAGATGAAGTTGGTGGCACCTAGCTTGTGGCTTCCCCACCCAGTAGATGTAATCATTACAAACAACTGCTTAGGTCAGGTCACAACTCTGAAGAGTCAGTCAAGGCATCATACCCTGTGATCTGTCCTTCCCCCCCACCCCCACCCCATACAGAGTAGGAACGGTCAAAGTTGCACTCATCTCACCTGACTATGGCAGATGTACACCTTACAGGGAATTACAGTTTGGCTCAGTCAAAAGAATTGCTGGAGGGGTATCTTTGAGGTGGTTCCCTCAAGAAAATCTGAGAATGGCTTGATGGACAGAACAAAAGACAGAATTTGTCCTGATAATCTTCTAGGGCAAAGATGTGAAAGAGACCAGGATAACACTCATGAAATGTACACACAGCAACTTAAAATTTATTTCAAAGAAAACATCTTTTATTATTTTATATATGTGCTAGATCAAAGGAGCAACTCTGGAACTGGGTTGAAATTATCATGAAATCTAAAATAATCACTGCTTGTGATTTCTCTGTATGATACGCAATCACGCTGCTACAGTGCACATGACAATCTTAAACATTACCCATTTATTGAAGGGGAAAAAGACACCAGGATTGAGATTGGAAGAAAGGGGACGGTAGTATTATATGACTCCCTGAATGCCAGGATAGTAGTTGCATGTGTCCTGTGGAATAAAGGAACTGACCTCTCTGGACACCATGTTATTGCGTGACATAAAAGCTCTCTGCTTTCGATCCAGAACAGGGTCTATTCCTCCTCCAGTTCCTCCTTGCTATTCTCAGTTGCCTCACCTCGCTGCATACTCCCTTTAGGCTTAACTAAAACCCATCCATCTATGGAAGATGGAGTTGTTAGGATAGTAGGTCTTCACCATGTTTATTGTATAGGGCAGTGCAGCAAGTGAAGTTCCCTCTCCTGCTCAGTCCCATAATCGGCACAGAAGTATGTTTGCTCCAAATGTGAGAAATACAGCTTCAGAAATACCACTTCTGTGCTATACATGAGACAAAGGAAAAGTTTTGTTCCAGTCACACTTGAAGCTAATTCCAGGAAGCTGCAATTCCAAGGCAAAAGGATTTCACTGAATTTTAGCAATAACAGATGTCCATAAATGAACTGCAGATAAGCTAGAAGCCTGCACAGCACTCATGGCACAAAACTTGTGGAACAGAGGAGGCCTGGCAAGCACTTCCATCTGTAGAAATCTTTCACAATCAAGTCAGTATCCAACAGCAGCTGGGGAACTCAGACTTCCTACTCCATCCACTGTGTCCATGCAATTCCTAGGCAATGACTTGGACAAGTACACTGTTTCAAGGAGCTTGAGCAGGGGAAGAGGAGAAAGGTCTCTGTGTTGCTCAGACCAAGGGCAGCCCATCTGACTCATTAGTGCACAGACCGAGAAGCAGAGCCTTTTTTGCAGCCTTACTTGGTAAGAATTGGGGAAAGGGTACAAGATTCTTCTAAATTCCTTCTCTTCCCTTCTGTCCAATTTCAACTCACAAGTGAAGCATTTCTTAAATTCCTTATCACTGAAGTTCTTCCTACGCATTTTTAAGACTCCCAGAGCACTCTTTCATCACTAACATGGTGACAAAACAAATCTGGAGCTAAAAGCAGATTTGGAATCCGAAGCAGATTCACATCAGTCAGCTCACCTCCGCTGCTATTCCAAAGATGGAGATGCCTGGCTCGCTCTCTGTGCAAATGCAAACCTATTCCTCTTTTGAAGGAGGTGCTACCTCCTTCCTCTTGCTACCTACCTCACTTCTGGCTGAGATGTGCCGTGCATGCTGATATGAAATTACAAACTGCTTGCAATTTCTCAAAATTCTTCTGCATGCTCCTTCTACAAAGCTTCTGCCATCATTGGAGAAGCAGTCAGTGCACCTGGCTCCATTTGGGACAGCTGATTTGGCAGCACTACACCCCTTGGAGAACACTGGTTCAGCCGTGTGTGGCTTCACTGTTGCAGCAGTGTGTTGTCTTTGAGTAACTGGCACCATAGTCTCAACGAGTAACAAGAAAGAGCTCTGCCAAAGGTTACTGCACAAACAGATGGACAGACCTTAGTATTTCTGCAGATAAATACCTACCAAATTGAAGGTGTGGCTAGCAGTTATTACCAGCTGAGGTAATGTAATCATGGCCTAGAAGACCGTTCCCAATTAATCCTATGAAAGTTATCACCCAAGTTAGCAAATACTGCAACGAAAGGGAGCATTTTCCTTTCTGTACTGGTTGGCACCTCTGAAAAGTGAGGCTGAGGGACACTGGAGTTAGTTTATGAATAAATGGGTTTTGGACCTTCAGTTTCAGGCCTTGCACACTGGGTGCACAGCACAATTGTGACTGTGGAGATGCGCAGAAAGCTAAAGGACCTTCCCTACGTTATATGCAAAGTCCTTCTCTGTACTTACTCTTCTGGAAACTGGAGACAAGCCCTTGTCTTGTGCAAGTTGATGAAATAATTCTCTTTTTCTCCAGTGAAAGGCAAAGGATTCAAATCTAAGATTGTGTTCTTCGCATTACAGCTGCTTTTAGAAGCAGCCAAGCGATTCTTGTCCTGATAAGACAAAGGAGAAGAACCCCAGCTACTGCTACGAGAGGAAAAGACTGCTTTCCACTATGGATTTCACAGGAGGGAAATTTACCTAAAGAGGTACCTTTCTGCTCCTATTCAGAAAATAAGGTACAGAGAAAGAAGCCACAGAGAAGGACCTCTTTGCCTGGGTCACTGACAGAGCACCCAGTCCCCTTCAGATGCAGAGCCTGGCGTAACATAAGAATAGAGCCTGCTCTGCAGTGTGACCTTCCTAGGAAGATACATCAGTATTGAGAGGATGGAGAGCTGCTGAAGCAGAATGTCAGTGCACATGGATGCTGAGATTTGAATTAAAAACATCTCAAATTTCTGTGCAGAACGTCTTGTTTGTACCCTGTGTATGGAGCTGCCTGGTAAAGCAGGAGGGAAGAGGAGGCAGAGCAGATCTATTTCTGATCTCTGTGTGGTGTGAGCTGAGTATAACTAGGAACACCAACTCAGTTGTGTTGGCTCCAAAGGCTTTCCATCATATACACAGACTGATTTTATGCTTCTAAAATCACAGTGCTTCTCTGGAATTAAGACGCTCCTTGCTGAGCCGATCTTTCACATGGAGTTTCTCAAGCAACGCTAGCTTAGCTTCTTTGGACTGTCTAAGCAGACACAAGTCTTGATCATTCTCTGGTTAGCCTGAACTAGGGGAGCAGAGGCAATTGAAGGTGTATGTCATTAGAGATATGGAAATGTTCCTGGGCAGGCAGTCCCAGCTGCTAAATCATGTTAGGGAGACTCCACTTGCATGTTAAAAGAAGAGGAGGGAACAGGGTTCAGACCATATGGGGTATCCCTGAGCTGCAAACCACACAAGGGAAGAGAGGAAAAAAGGAATTGAAAGACAGAGACATTTGTATTCTTAAAGATGAAGACTGGGGATTTGGGGCTCAGGTACCACCCTGGCTTAATGATCTCCTCTTTCAATCCTTGCACGCAGGGAGTGAGCAAAGGTGGGCTGTGACTCTTTCTGGATGGCCCTTGTTTCAAAGAGGGGCCCCTCTTTGGAAGCTGTGGCAGCTGAAGCAGGGGGATGTTCCTTGCAACAGTCAGGGATGGGGTGGGTGCCGAAACAGCCTCTTGCTGCAGTACTGACTTCTGGGCAAAGACATCTCTGGAAATTTAGACTCTGTGCTGGTTTCCTCTGCTACCAAGAGCAGGCCACTGGCTCCCTAGCGGGATGCGAAAAGGCAGAAGTGTTCACAGAATGCTAAATAGGGGAGAGGGAACAATACAGCTTTCCCCTCAGCCCCGCACCAAGTTGCTCTGACTACTGCAGCTTCCTTTGAGGGCCCTGCCTCTCCGTAGCTGCCAGAGGACTGCAAAATGGGACTTTGTTTCAGACTGACAGTGATGCAGTGGCAAATCCGCAAGCAAACAGAATTTGTTAAAGTCCATAGGCACTTATTCTTCACAAGGAGAGTGTTCAGACTTAAAGCCTTCCCTTGGCAGAGTGCCACCACAGCACAGCTTCTGGTGTGCTCACATCACAGACTGGACGAATAGTTAATTGTACGAATGGTACGTTGGCTGATGGTGGCTCCTTGCAGAGGAAAGAGCTTCATCCTCAAAAACATCACGAGGAGGAAGGTAGGCTTGCCTGATCTTTGCACACAAAGGGTGGAAAAGAAAGAACTCTGATGGCTGAACACAACTGGGATTGCTGGGACAAGCCTTCTCCTCATACCCTGTTTCCATTATGGCTCAATTATTGACAGCAAAAAGGTACATTCACAGTTGAAAGTCTGCTGGCAGCTGTCATGATTGCAGATGAGTATCAATAAAAGCAAGGGGCTTTCAGTGCTGAGACAGAGTTTTCTTTCATGTAGGCTAGATTAGAAGATCACCCCAGGTCTCTCACCATTCTTCCCCTCTTCCCTCTCCAGTAGGTAAAATCCCTGACGGTAGATCTTTAGGCACACCTGTCTTAACCCTAGCTCCAGTTCTCCTTCTTGAAAGCAAGTTGCACGGCATCATTCACATCCTGCACTATGTAAGATGCCTCCACCAGGCTGGGGTCAAAGCAGAAGTCCCGATGGCCGTGGAACACTGTCTCCATCGTGCATTCCTTTGTTACACTGGGAACATCTGCATCGTGGCGGTAGACTCCCGTGCAGACCAGAATCGACTCACAACTCTCCACTGAATTGTTGCAGTCCTTCCTCAGCTCAAGGTGATCCTCAGTTTGGGGACTGTGTGCCTGCGGGCTCCTCTTCACACCATCCTGGACCTGGTTCCGGTGAGCTGACTTGAGGTAGTTGTTGTAGAGGTTTGCCCCATAGATATCGGACATAGGGTTATCCCTGGATAAGGTCACAGCGTGAAATAGAAATGAGAAACTAGCCCATGCATCAATTTCTGTCTCTAGGAGACTGGGATTAAGGCAGCACTGAAGGAGGAAGGGGTGCAAGGTATTTCCTAACATCAAGAGAACCACCCAGACTGAGCCAGTGAGTCCACCCACTGGTGTGGTCTGTTCAGCTGTGGTGAAGGCCACATGCTTCACAAACATCTTGCAAGGAGGAGAAGACACATCCAAAGCACTCATAGCAGTTTCAGCCACTACTGTAAAGTATTCCCTATGTTCCCAAAGTGTTCAGCTTAACAGGGCTAATGGTACTATATGTGGGTCTCAACTTTTTCTTTAATCCAGTCATACTACATGCATTCTGCACCCTACAGCAAACAGCTTTGCTAGGCTGACAGGGCTCTTTGAATTATTAAAAGCATAGGGTGCAAAAAGCTACCAAGCCTCTGTTCCAGGATGTGAGGCTCCAGAGAAACCATGGGGATTTTGGTATTCATTTTAGAAATATCCATTAAAAAAAGCCACTTAAGTCAGTATGCAACTCGTTAAAGAAACCAGCAGGAAAAAGTCTCTTACCCAACTGCATAGAGGCGTCGGATAGGAGACTTCCAGCCTTGTTTCTCTGCCTGCTGTTTTATCAAGTATTCAGCATAGCGGTAGGTGACTGTGCTGGGTTTGCCAATCAAGGCCTCGTACTTCAGTTCCCGGCCCGTCACTTTCTTGTAGATGTTCTCCAAGCAGAGGAGGAAAGTGCCATGGCCAAACCTGCTCCAGAAAGGAGGTCATCAGTATCCCCGGTCACACCACTTAAGTAGCAAACACTCCTCGCTGAGGAGGATCATCTGCGGTAGCCAGGCTACCGCCTAGTCTGGACACAGTATCTACCCACACACACCTCCATAGGCAGTGGTCTAGCTTTTGCTTCTAGAAAGTTTTAGTCTTTGTTTCTCATGCAGTTTTCTTATCTCTGCTGCTAATTATGTCATATAGTCAAACTCTAAAACAGTCAAATGCTAAAAAATGTAGTAAGAAAAGATCATCTGCAGGAGACATGTATGAAATAGGCTAAACCAAGTATCAGACACACTTTTCACCTGGGCATCTTGGCTTCGGCCATCCACAGGAGATCCATGTTGCAGGCAAGGACAGGCAGATGGGGGTATGGTATATCTTCCACCTCTGCCCCAGGGTTCCCATTGCTCAAGAGTACATCAGTAATAAGTTGCAGACTTGTCTCCCACCTCACTGGCTCACCAAACAGAACCACCCCTGGAAGATTTCAAGAGATGCTTGGAAACTCACAGCACCCAAGTATAGGACCCACTACCAAAAGCCACCCACTAGCAAAAACACTCCTCTGCTGGGATGCTCTGGCTAATACAGCTACCGATGGAACGTGGCTGGTGCTAGGGCTCCAGTCTGCATATCACTGCACCACATGCACCACTGGTCCCGGACAGTGGAGCATGGCACAGAGAAAAGCTGGCTTTGCTCTTACCAAGCTTGTGTGTCATGCTGCATGATGGCAGCGAGGCTGCCTACTGACTGTATCCTCTGAATAAGCTGCCTGTGGATACTGATGAGCTGACAGCACATCATTAGCTCCCATTTCAGCTGGCTTCCCTTGCTGTTATTTCTGCTTGCTGTTCATATGTAAACAAAGGCTATTGCTTACCTTCTATAGTGGGGAAGCCAGAGGTTGGAGGAGGCTGCCAGAAAAAAATGAAGGCTGGGTTAGTAATGCAAAACCTAATGCCATCTCCAAAACAATACTAAAAATGCTTCCTTTGAACCTGCCACGGCAGTTCCATAAAGAGGCAAGACGAGGCCACCTGGAATCCTGAAGAAAGATTTCCTCTACCCCCACACCCCTCCATCCCAGATTGGATTTCACAGATTTTCCATTTCTGTCTCAGAGCTGGAGACGTCAACCAAACCATCTTACCACCCACCACAAGGAATAGCAACGAAAGACAGGCATGCCATGAGAGGGGGGGAAAGTCACTGCCCTTCCAGCAGGAGCCTACGCTGGAAAGAGCAGAGATGCAGGCAGCTCAGTACCAGTCCCGAGCTCTTGCAAAGAAGGTCAGTAGCAGCCAGCTGCTCTGTGCCTCTGCAGCTTCTCCACCCCATGCTATACACTGTAAGCACCACCACACCCATTCTACCAGCACATCAGGAAATTACCAGCTCTTTTGGCCTCCGGCTCTGATCCACCATGTCTAACAGGGGATATGCCTTCCTCAGTGCCTCTATGGTGACCACGTGCTTGAACCCCAGGCTATTTCAGACCATCAAGGAAAGACACGGAGACTGTTTGGGTTTTTTTTAGGTTACTTGCAAAGGCATCTGCAGGATTAAGAAATACAAGTCCTAGTAGCAGAGCAGTTATTTAACCTGGTAATCTATAACCTCATGGCTTTCAGTTAAACTGCATGCTGTGCTTCAACCTAAAGGTGGCCCTAAAGGTTACAAAAAACCCCAGACCGGGGTGATTTACTTTGTGATCCGCAATCCCTGGAAACAGGCAAAGAGCAGAGGTCACTCCAAGACAGAATGGATGTGTTTTGGAGACCTTTAAGGCCAGGGTTCTCGTACCGGTTCAGTGCCTGGACAGGCTCCTTGGCTACAAGCAAAATCAGTGAAGCTCTGGTCAGCTCAGCTGGTGAAAAGAAAATGGTCTGTGCTGATAGAGCTACACAAGTGAAGGATGAGTTGCATTTGCTTGCAGAACACCTTGCCCTTTGCTTGCCTTACTGGCCTTGAGGAAACATAGAGACGGGCTGAGGCGTTGTATCAAATGAAGTTAAATGTTAAGTACAAGGTGTGACTCTGTGTGTGTACAGGCTGAGATGTCACAAACCCCGCAGACAATTGTTACCTCCCTGCAGACATGAGGTATGTCAGACCTGCCGTACCCTCACCTCAGCCAGGTAATATGCATGTGGGATTGTCGTTTAGACCATGTCCTTGTACTGGGACACTTGTTCTAATGATACTTGAGCTCCTTCAATTGCTGTCAGATTCCTGGGGAAAACCATAGCTGTGGGACAGTTGGGAGTGATCTCTAATGGACTTTGCATTAGAAAGAATGGGAAGGAGCACAATTTTGTCTCAAAAGTGAGAGGCCTAAAGCCAATACAGCCCTCATGGTGACACATGACCAGCAGGAACAGCAATGCAGCTCACGGGACAGGCAGTCTGTGTGAGAAGCCAAACACAGACCAAGGACAGCCAGGAGGGGACCAAGATGGAGATCAACGGTTAGTGCCTACATTTGAGCCTCTCCATGAGGATGCGTCCCCATAAGATCAGACCAGTGACCTTTCTGTCTCCTTGAGCTCCTACAAGCTGACTGACCAAGTGCCAGGGGCATGGGCAGGAGCAGCTGCCTTTAGCTGTGAAGCCGCAGCGGGATGCGCAGAGCACCATGAGGTACGTGCAGGAAAGGATACTTCTGGGCGTTCTCCTCCACGGGCCCCTGCCCAGCCACCAGCATGCACTTGTTGTGGAAGTGGCTGAAGAGCCGCAGCGGGCTGTGGGACAGGAGCACCTGCTCCGGAGACACCTGCGGGAGGGAGGAGAGGCTGACAGAGGGATCCGCGGGGAAGATCTCCCTGCGGTCAGGTCGCATCCTTTCCCCGTGCTGCCGCCCGCCTCCCTCCATCCCCTCAGACCGAGCCAAGGCCGGTCACTCCGTGGTGCTGCCACCCCCAGCCCTTCACGCCTCGCGGGGAATTCGCGCTGAGTGGGCTCCCTCCTCCTCCTCTCAGTGCTCCTGTCCAAAGCCGGGACACCTGAA